GCCTTAAAAATGGTGGAAGCGATTGCTATGATTGTAGTTTAAGCAATATACTATTCGTGTTAATAACTTAGACCCCAGTTTCATTTCTTTATATTATTGAAAGTTAAATTATTACTTTCAGGAGAATTGGTAGATTCGATGAGAATTGGCGATGAACTGGCAGAAACTGGGTATTTCTCAATAACCAGCCATCTACCAATCCTGCTCAAAGCAATAATATATTTATATTTTACACTTTTGAAAAGTCGTGAGAACTTTTTTCTTACAATTCCTAATCACTTTATTCATCTATATATTATATTTTAAAAATACGACTAACTCAAAGTTACTGCAGCAAAAAATTTAGAAACCAAAATCTAACAATTAATAAAAAGTGAGAAAAATTATTTAGCGAGTGGAAAAAAGAATGCCAATAAATTTTTATACTTTTTATAGATGTATATAATAGATAATTTTTGCTAAAATTAAATATTATGGTAAACTGGCAAGAAATACATCCTGATTTTACGGAGGAACTGCAAAAGGAGTGAGAAAGCCGAGGATTTAGTTATGAAAAATGTAAGGAGTGAATAGATATTGGTTTTCAACCAGAAGATGTTGAGGCAGTTGAATATTATAAGAAAAGAAGAGAGTTTTATGAAGCAAAATCTTATAGCATTGAAAAATTTAGAAGTGAATGGTATGAAGAAAATAAAAAACTGGAAAAAAGGTGACAAGAAAAAGGATTTAGTGTCGAAGAGTTCAAACAGTGAATTACAGCGGGTTTAACTCGTGAAGAATATCCACTAGCCATCTATGCTAAAAAGAAAGATTATGATTCTTCATCAATTGATATAGAAGCGTTAAGGAAAGAAATCACTTTTCAGGAGTACTTAAATCAAAAATATCCTAATCAAGAAGACAAAGAAAAGTTAAAAACGTTTCAAATAAATTGAACCGATTCTCTTGGGAGGCGAATTTCTAATAAACTCAATGGAGGAGAGTTAAATTTGAGTGAATATTCTAATTTAGAGGAAATAAATATCTGAGGTAGCGAACTAAAATCCCCTTTAATTAAGTTAAACATTACTGGTTGTACCAAATTAAAAAAACTTTGCTGTCGCGAGAATCTTATAGTTGAACTAGATTTAAGCAAAAATGAAAAGTTGAAGATGTTAGAGATCGTCAACAATAATTTTTCCTCAACTCAAGACTTATCTTTTTTAGGACACTTAGTAAATTTAGAGAGTTTATATTTAGGAGACTAGGAGACCATTATTGTGATGAGGAAAGAATTAGTCAAGGCATTTTCAATCGTTTTACTGGTTCTTTGGGGCCTTTGAAAAATTTAGGTAAATTAGAGAATTTGGACATTATAAATACAGACATAGATGGTGGCTTAGAATATTTACCAGTAAGTTTAAAATGGGTTGGTTGTCGTGGTAAAAGACCAGGAGCTAAAGCCAATGAACTCTATGATAAAGAACTTCGTTGATGTGATGGTGATATTAAAATTTGAAGAGAGTTTCATAACAGTCCTGCTCAGCAATGATTAGATGAGAATTATCCCGAAGGTGAAAGAGCAGAAAAACTTTTTTTAAGCATTTATGGAGAAAAATTGAAAGGTGGGCTAAGACTAAAAGGTTTTACTAAACTAGAGACGTTTGGTTGTTGGGATAACCAACTAACTAATATTGATTTGAGCGATTGTAGGAACCTCAAACACCTTAGTTGCGAAAATAATGAATTAATCAATTTAGACTTTCTTGAGACTGTTACCAAACTAGAAAAACTAAATATGAAAGATAATAAGAAACTTTCCGGACAAACTCTAAAAAGTTTAACTTCTCTAAAAGAATTAAGGCGTTTAGATATAAGTAATTGTCCTTTAGAAGGAAGTTTGAAACCTCTAGAAAATAGTAAATTAGAGGAGTTGAATATTACTAATACTAATCTTACTGAAGGTTTAGAATATCTGCCTGAAAGTTGTAAAAAACTTTACTGCGATAGTGATTATCTACACAAATCAACCAAAATTATGGAGGAATTGGATAAAGGAAAGTGCTTAGAAGAAGAAAAAGATTATGAAAAAAAAATTATCAGATGCTACAACTTAGATAAATGAAGAGAAGATAAACAAAACAAAATGCTTTCTGATGTCATCCCCTTAGAAAGATTATTTGTAATTAGAGGTAATCTCAAAAGTTTTGTTAATAGATGGGGAATAAAAGAAGGGCAAAAAGTAAGTGAACTAAGTAAACTTCAAAACCCTAAAGAAATCAATGCCTACTGATATGTGGGCGAAGGAGGGCAATGAGTGGCTCGGGCTACGGCAGTTACTGGCGGAGTATTAGCTGCTACTGTTAATCCAATCTTGGGTGGTATTTTAGCAGCAGCTTCTCCGGTCGTAGAAGTAAGTGCTTCACAGATAAAAGAAAAACTTTTTGAAGTTAAGGAAAAGGAATGACAAAAATTCAAAAAAGATGCTGACACTTTTTTAGATAGTTTTCATGAATTATTAGGTATCTTGGCTCCTATTGAGATTAAGGAATTACTGGAAGGTAAAGTAAGTCAGGCGGTTGAAAAATTAAATACCATAACTGAAGAGTTTTTGGCAGCATTTGATAAAGACAAAAATAAGGAAATTAGTATTGATGAGTTAATCCAAGGGAGAGGCCAATTAGTCTGAGACTTAAATAGGAACAAAGCAAGTTGTTCCTGAGGCATTGTTGAGGCTATCAAAGATTTAGAAACAGAGATAATTTATTATCGCAAACTTGCTTATGGAACTGGTGAAGAAACTGACAAAGAAAAAGAAATTGATAAAACAGCAGAACAATTAGAATTAGAAGAAAAAATATTAAAACTTCAAAATGAGATAAAAGATAAGGAGAAAAAAATAGTAGAAAGTTATAAAAATCAAGATGATGAAGTTATTAATGAAACTCCAGTTCAAAAACTCCAAAATGAAATAGACGATTTAAAAATTATACTAGCACTCAAGGAAGCACAAACAAAACTAAGTGATGAAGAACCCATAAAGTTAGAACAGCAAGTAAAAGATTTAGAAGTTAAATTAAAAAAAACAGAAACTAGTTTCCAACAAATTAAAAATGAATTAATTGAATGACAAAGTGCTTTAACCTTTCTAGAAGAGGGGGGACAATCAAGTAGTGAAGGTTTTGAGTTGTTAGACAAAAAAGTAGAAAGTCTAAAAAATGAACTGAATGAAATAGAACAAAAAAAGAAAGAGATCGAAAAGCAACTAAACCAAACTAGGGCTGATCTTAAGAACCTAAATCGTCGCCAAAAAATAACTTTGGATCAAAAAAGAATCCAAGAATGATGAGAAGAAGTTAAAATTAAAATGAATACTCCTATTCAATGTTGAGATTGCTGAGACTGTTGCCAAAAAGAAACTAAAAAAAACAAAGGCAAGGCTAAAGAAATCGTTTCGGAACCAATTAATAATATTCAAGAAAACCAAGGTGAAAACTCTAAAAGAGTTTCATTAACGGAGGAAGAAACTTCCCTCCAAGCCCACCAAGAAATCCCTCCTAAATAGGTTCAACCAGCAAAATAACTTAACATGAAAATCTGAGCCAGTTGCAAATGCTGTACCAAGAAAAATTTTATAGTAAATGATTATGCATTAGGACAATCTTTTAACAAAAAAACCGAATTTGGCACCGAATTATTCAGAAGTTTAAAAGACCATTTGCTGGCATTGCAAGATGCTTTGAAAAGTCAAGGGCATTATGATCGGATATTTACAACCCCAGATGCTTTTGTAGAAGAAGAAACAAAAATACCGCAGGACATATTGGACTTGTTTTTGCCAGAAGATAAGAAAAAGAAAATGCGACCGGAAAAAGAACAACAACCAAAAGAAAAAGTATATACTTTTGAAGGATGATTTCAAGAATACCAGGCTGGAAGACAAGGAATTACCCAAGAACAGCGTGACGAATTAATAAAAACTCAAGGAACCATTAAAGAGCAAGAACAATTTACTTGGGAAGAAATCCAAGAAATGTTAAAAGAGGGAGAAGATACTGAAAATGAGTAAAAACGAAAATAAGAATAAAATAGACTGATTTGCTGGCGATGATATGCCACGAGAAAAGTGGGATATTGAACTAGATCCTAAACTAGCAGAAATTAGCAATGACAATTTATTAAAAGAATTTGAATTTAGGATATTAACGGGCAAATTATCTATCTCACGAGGTACAGTGAAAGTTGATTATATTGACGATAGTGCCTTTTTTCACCCTAGCCAAAATCAAGTAGAATTTATTAACTGTATTGGTAGCGAGGACGAAGATGAAATGGAAATTTTACCTCTTGAACTATGATACCGCCGACTATTAAAAATTGGTTGTATAACTATAGAGGATTATGAAAACTTTTGCAACCGACAAGGAAGCATGATTACTCCTCAGGTTTGAACTCACACTTGGGATAGTATTGGCGGCAAAGAGTTCTTAAAGAAAAGAGAAGTGGAAAATATTGAAGAGATAAAAGAAAATAGAAAGCACTGAATTGGAGATTTATTTAAAGGGAACCCAGAAAGAACTAAACATATGAGAGATGGCACACCTTATCCTTTCAAAACTAAAAAAGGAGTTTGCAAAAGTATAGTTCAATACTGCGAAAAGAAACCGGCAGTAAGAAATAACGAAGAGCAAAATTTAGTAGGCTACATTCTTTTTGATTGTGACAAGTTTAGTGCCGTGTTAAACCCTAATCATAAACCTACCGGCAAAAAAGAAAAAGTGGAAATGTGCGAAAAATGCTATCAAGGAGCAAAGAAAGTCCAATGAGAAAAAAATAAAGAAAATGGCTGAATTTGTGTAGAATGATTTTATTTTTACGATGAAGAAAGACAAAGAATAGAAGATAAAGCCCAATTAAATGACTACTATACCAGAGAGGACTAATTATAACGCAGGGTGGAGAAATGGTCATCTCGTTTGGCTCATAACCAAAAGGCTGTGGGTTCAAATCCCGCCCCTGCTACCAATTATTATACAAAAATAAGACAAAATGAGTACTTAATGGAAAAGGATTTTTAAATCATGAATGCAATTAAAAGAGTTATAAGCTTGGGAAAAAGAGGAAAGATGTACCTAACCAATGAATTATGTACGAATGAAAAAGCAAAAATTAAAAATGAGCCAGTTTATAATTGACATACCGAAGTTAATGGCAAGAAATATATTACTCCGCGGCTTCTTTGTGAACGATGCAAGAATGCTCCCAACATTTTTCACAGAGATGGTTTAATGATAGGGGTTTGTTGAGATTGCTCATAATATTAAAATGCTAGAAAACAAAAATGCTAAATAGATGTGAACCTATTATTTTTTAATTGTTTTAGCAGGAATATTATTAGGAGTGTTCTTGGCTGTTCTGTTAATGATTTGAGGATTATTAACTTTTTCCCTGGAAGTGAAATGCGAAAATTGTAAAAAAAGACAAGCGTTAAAAGTGATAATGTTCAAACTGAAAGAACCGCCTTGTCGGCATTGCGGTAAAACTAGTAAAGAAATAGAACTGTAAAATGAATGCAACTACAAGACAAAAATTAAATTAATATGTTTTGAAAGTTTTTTAGCGGCACATTTGGATTAGTCTTTGGGATTTTAATGGCTATCTTAACTTTCACTTTTGTACTGGCTTTGTTATGGAATTTTGGAGAATGACTCGACGAAAGAAAGAAACAAAAACAAAAGACCAAGTGTCCTATTTGTAAAGACCGAAAACACAAAAAGGTTATTCAAACAGGAGTTAAATATCCCTTTAAAAAACTTTGCGATGATTGTAAAGAAAAATTAGGAGATGATGAGAATGACGAAGATTACGAGACGGAAGAAAACGAAACTGTAACCCAATCGAACTCTTTTATTCAAATCACCCGTAATGGCAAAACTATTACTATTGTAAACGGCAAAAGAGTGAAGTAGATAAAAATGTTTAAAACCTTAAAAGATATCTCCGAAAAAATAATACTGCTAGGTCCAGCCATTTATGCCTTTTTTAACTACTTTTTTGTAATTAAGGAAGAGCAAAGATTTACTTTTATGGGTTGGGCTTGGCTAATAGTTAGCATTCTTTATTTTGCAATTGCCTTATATTTTGTTATAAAAAACTGATAAAATCCTTTAATGGAATTTTATAAAGTAAGCATAAAAGACATTTGCCCACAATCGACCAAGCAATTAAAAATTATTGACCAAAGAATAAGAAAAAAAATATTAAAAAAAAGCCGATGGAAGTATTTAATGAAGAACAAGAAAGATTGATAAAAAACTACCTTTTGGCTTTTTATGAGGGTCTAGCCTGATTAAAAACCAATGAACCAACTCCCGCCGAAACCGAAGAGATTTGAAATAAAATCTTTAAAAAACTTGAAAAATATGTGCCTAAAACACACAACCGAAAAAGAACTATTAGAGGAAGTAAATAAAAGAATAGAAGAGGGAAAAATTAAATGGAGTTTTGCCTATCGCTATTACGAGGATATTACTGAAATGAGAATGATTTGCAAAAACGATGATGACTGAACCCTAGCTTTTTATCAAAAAACCGACATAGAAAAAGGTTATTGATATAGGCAAATTTATAAGAGCGTAACCGAGCCAATAACAATAAAGCAAGAGGATGAAAAAATTAAAAATTGAATGCGGGAACATTACGATGAAAGATTTATCAAAAGCAAAGAATAACAAATCGAAGAAAAGAAAATTACTAACTGACTCTAATAGACTATGAACAAGATGCAAAACTTGCCAAGAACCGGGAAACTTGGAAAATCTGATTTACCAAAAAATATCCATAAAAGATAAGGAAAATAGAGAATTATATGGATGCTATGAAGGAGTTTATTTTTGCAGTGAGGACTGTCAAAATGCTCAAAAATAAGTCTAGAAATGAATGTACTCACTTTAGTATATATTAGCCAAAGTAAGGTAAAATAACTTTATGAAATGTAGCAAGTGCTTAAAAGACATTAAAATAAACGAAGATTATTGAGAAGGCATATCAAATTGTAACTCTGAAAAGAAAAATAATGAAGTTTATTGTGATTTTTGCTACCAACAATGAAAAATGGAACGGAAAATGAAGAGACTAGAAAAACAATTATAAAAAGTTTATAACAACACGCAGCCGAGCGTGCGTGATAAAACAACTAAATTACTAACCTACTTATAATTTTCTTAAAAACCGAAAAATACTCAAAATAATGTTAATACAACGAATTAAATGGTTTTTATCGAAAGAGAAAAATGAAATTGACACAACATTATAAAAGTTTGCGAAAGAGTTAACAAATGAAAATATAAAGATCACTTCTTAAATAGCAATCAATATAAAGAAATAAATCCCCATCTCAACCATACTTTTAAAGAAATGTTCTGATGTGCTTTCTTGGATTGACCAGCACCCAAAGGAGGAGAAGAAATAAAGATAAAATTACGGGAAACCATTAAAAAATACCGACCCAATGAAGAAGAATGATGATATCCGGAAGTGGTCGAATACTTTTATCCTCGTTATTTAGCCAGTAAAGGTGGAGTTTTTTTTACTCCCAAGAATTATTGTGAATTATTGAGTGAATTAGCGCTTTTATACGTGGAAAATTACCAGCCCAATTGAGAAGAAATAAGCAAAAAAAGCCAGGATAATAGTTACTGAAATTTTATCCGCGAACGCCAAAAACCTGGAAAAGAATGACAATTAAAAGTTTATGATCCTGCTTGCGGAGTTGGGGCATTATTATACACTTTTCGTAAATATAAACCCGATTGTGAAATTTACGGGCAAGAAATAGAGCATGAAAGTGTTTTATTAGCCCGTTGAATGTTATTACGAAAAATGAACCGCTTCTTAGGAGGAGGACAGCCAGAACCAACTAACGGCCAAATAACAGAAAGATCAGGCATTCCCAGAGAGCAAAGAAAAGGCAAAATAAAATACGGAAATACTTTAGAAAGCGATGGATTTAAAAGACAATTCCATATAGTACTCTGCAATCCGCCTTTTAATCAACTTTTTAAAGAAGAAATACACGGAACCAAAGATGGTAATATTGCGTGAACCCGTCAATGTTTAAAACACTTGAAACCGGCCGGAACTTGCCTAATTATCTTGCCAACTAGTATTTTAGTAACTGAGCAATACCACGAGGAGAGAAAAAGGCTGGTAAAGCATAATTACCTAGAAGCAGTATTTTTTGACTTTATTCACAAAGATAGCAGCACGGGAAATGCCTTTGATAACGCTCAATTAGACACTTGCGTCCTACTATTACGAAAAAACAGAGAGGATAAGGAAAATATTTACTTTATTAATTGTGCGGGAAAGACTAAAGAGCAGATAATAGCCGAATATAAAAGCGAAAATAAGGAAAAAGTAAGTAGGAAGAGACTAAAAGAACATGACTATTGCTTTATCAAATACATTTTAGAGAGATTAGATGAACCAAAGGGAGAAGCAATTGGCCAATATTTTCGCAAAATAAGTAGCCGTAACTTAAAAGAAACTGATAAAACTAGTCCAGCCATTAAATTGGCAACTAAATTATTCGAAAAAAATAGGGAGCCAATTGCCCAATTAGTAAAAGAAATGGAAAATACTTCCGGAGGAGTAGAACATTGATATTTAATTCCTAAAAAGAAGAAACTAAATGAGGAAGAAATTACTGAAAACAAAAAGCGGATGAGAATGCTGATTAATTATTTAGAACAAAATGAACCGACTATGCGGAAATTTTACTATGGGTCAGTAATTAAAGAATTGAGAATTAAAGAGTTTTTAGAGTGGAAAGTATTGTGAAGGGAAGAGCGGTTAGTTGAGGAAATACAGAGCATTCCGGTGGAGCGGATAGAAACCTTTTTGCCCGAAATTGAATTGATTAATTTTTCTCCTCATCCCGATATGTGAGAAATTAACTCGGGAGAAATGGTCTGCTAGTATGAGATTTGGGACAATATCTGCTACAATAATTTAATATCTGACGATGATTACGTCAACTTCTGACCCTACTGCTGATATAATATTTACTCTTGATTTGGGTTCAATCAAGCAGCGGAGGTTCAACTCCTCTCCTAATCATAATAATGTGGGTATACGCAACATCTACTATAAAATATATTTGAAGAGGAGTAAATAGATGACAATGGGCGTCTGAACGAGACTGAACGAGACTGAACGAGAGATGAAAGTCTCTCCCTCTCTCTACATGTGTGTGTTTATAAAATAGCAATAATAAATTAATAAATATGACTAAAAGTAAATTTAAATTCTGACAAAAATCTGAACCCCAAACTGATGACGAGACTGCCACTACTTCCGTTCCGGCAGCCAAATTAGAAAAAACTAACCGCCACCTAAAAAAAGAAAATGGTGAATTAAAAGAAAAGTTGACTAATTTAACCCAGCAATGGCAGGAAACAAAAACTAAATTAGCCAGTGCGCTGAACTCTATTCACGATTTACAGAACGAAAGAGAGCAAGATATAAAAGCCCGTTTTGCTACCGCCCAAAAAGAATTAGAGGAAGAAAACGCCCAACTTCAAGCCCAAATTGAGGAATTGGCAAAGCGACCCACAGCTGACGAAGTAGCCCAGCAGCAAGAGAAGGCGGTCCAAGCCTATAATGAATTATTAAAATCCCAGAAGGAGCTAACAGAGAGAGAGAGAGAGAGAGACGAATTTGAGCAGCAAATTCAGCAACTTACTCACGATTTAGACAGCTGAAAGTCCGGTTATAACAATCTAAAAAATGAAGTAGAAACTCTCCAAAATAAACTCATAGATTTAGAACCCGAATTAGACGAAACAAAGCAAAATTTAACTTCGGCTAACGGCCAAGTTAACACTTATGAAGGATTATTAAATAAACGAGAGCAAGAAATAATTGACTTAAAAAAACAATTAGCGGACCTAACTAATGCTAACCAGGAAAATTTGGACAAAACTAATGATTTGCTAAATCAACAAACCGACCAACAGCGGCTTCTAACTAATGAGCAAAAAAAAACTCAATCTTTACAGGCTAAATGTAAAAGTTTACGGGTTGACCGCGACCAGCAAGCCCGGGCTAATGAATTACTGGTTAAAAATGTGGTTGAGTTAACCAAAAACCACAAAAAACTTTTAACTGAATTACAGCAGGAAAAGTCCGCCCATGAGGCCACTCAAACCCAGTTGACTAATGAATTAGATGACACCGAAAAATATCTCGATGAATTACGCCAAAAATATCAATCATTAGCGGAAAAATTAAATAGTTTGGATAAAAAATTAACTTCCGGTTCATACAGAAAACCACACGGTAAACTGACTGGTTTTAAACTCCCCTGAGAGGAAGAAGAGGAAATAGAGCCAGAAGGAGAAATTTTTATCCCATCAGACTTAAATAAGCAATTAGAAACAATTTTAAACGATTATCAACAAATTAAACAAGAAGCGAAGTGGCTGGAAATTCAATTACAAGAGCAAAAGGAGGTTAATCAACAATTAATTGCCGACTTAAACCAAGCAGAAGTAGACCGCGATAGTAATCTCGCAAAAATTACTGAACTAGAAGAACAAAAACAGCAATTAGAAGAGCAGGAAGCCGAAAAGGAGCAAGAATTAAATGAACTCCAAGCGGAAAAAAAGCAATTAGAAACTGAATTACAATCGGCCACTACTGTCAAAAATAACACTCTCCAAAGTTTACGAGACTTACAGGAAGAAAATCAAACCCTCCAAGAGGAATTAGCCACTACGGAACAGCAAAGAGCGAACACAGAAGCGGCTTATGATGTCGGCGTGGACCAATTAGCTCAGACCCAAGAAAAATTAGATGACAAAACTACTGACCTCAATAATACTTTACGAAGTTTAAACGAATTACAAACAGAAAATCAAGCCTTACTGGCTCAATTACAAACCCAGGACAATTTGACCCAACAACTAGGGCAGGATTTTGCCGCAATTAGAAATAGTTATCAAAATTTAGACCAGCAAAAAGATAATATTATCCAAAGTCTCCATGATTTACAGGGGGAAAATCAACAATTAGAAAATAGTATTGATGACCGTCTGGCCGAACGAGACGCTTTGGCTACTGAAAAAAATAGAGAAGCCCAAAAGGTCAATTTATTACAAAAGAAATCCCTCTCCCTCCGCACCAATCTTAACCAAACCCAAACCAATTTAACGGACAGTCAAAATCAGGTTCAGCGATTAACCAACGACAATAATAATTTACAGGAACAATTGACTATTAAAAGTAGGAATATTAATTTATTAGCCAATAAAACTCGCCAACTGCGGATGAGAATTCAACAGACAACTCAGCAATTAACCACGGCTAATAATACTATCACCACCGCCCAAACGCAACTGGGAATTGCTGATTTAACCAATTTACCTAATTTGGCTGGTAAATCCTTGACCGAGTTAATTGATTACTTTCAGCACCATCGTTGTAGTGGTTGCCACCTCAGCGTTCATGCCGATTACGATACTATTAAACAAGAACGGGATAAGTATAAATCAGAATTAGATAGTCATGTTTGTCCTTCTTGTTCAGAAATCTGTTGTGTCAATGGTGATTATCAGCAGATTAAGCAAGAGTTAAGTCAACAAGAAAATAAATGTCAAAAACATCTGGCAGAGAAAGAGGCACAAATAATTACCCAAATCATTACCGAGTGTCAATTAGGTTTAAGTTCTGACAGTGCCTTAGCAGCAGTTATTAACCGCCTCAAAGAATTGATTAATAAGGGTCCGGATAGCAGTCAAGACACCCTGATTGCTGATTTACAGCAACAATTAAGAGACAAAGATAAGCCTAGTGAGGACATTAAACAACAATTAAAAGAACTTAGCCAAGAATTAGGACTGAGCGACCAAGTGGTTCAATCTTTACAAACCGCGTCCAGTTATTCGGAGTTAGTAAGCCGACAAAAGCAGGCTTTTAGTGCCAAATTGGGCCAGGAAATTAAAAGCAAAGAAGTGGCTCAGCGGTGAAATATTGGTTTAGGGGTGTTGAGTGGGGTGAGTTGGTTGATATTGCTAGCGTTTCTGGCTTGGAAAACTAACAGGAGAAAGGGAGAATTAAGATAAAATTTTATCTTTTTATTTTCTTAATCATGTTTACTTAAATCAATTTCTCAGTTTCATAAAAAGATTTTAAATAAATGTATTTGATATGAACTGAGAAAGACAATATCGTAGTGAAATAACAGAAGGTGAAAATGCTTGGGCATTGGGAAATAATGAAGATGGACTGGTTTAGAACCTTTTTGCGACAAATGCGAAAGACGAAAAGTCTGGGAAATAAAATAAACTAAAAAAAACCGAACTGCCGTTATTTAACATAAATGGCAAAAGAAAACCCAAAAAAAGAAGTAACTTTTCAAGAATTAAGCATTGATCCTGAATTTCAAGAAGCCTTTAAGAAAGTAACTGATTTAATTAGATTACGAGAGATTTATGTTTGCCAAGAGCCAGTTTCAAACGAGTGCTTTATGCTAGAAGACTGGACATCCTCCTGTACCTGCCCAAACAAGAAAACCATTCAGATTAATACCAAATTTGGCATAACCGACCGGGCATTAGGGAAAACCAAAAACAGTTCTATTTGAATGCTCTATATGGCAACTATCGACGAAGATTATCAAGCCGGATTATTAGGAAGAGACTGGAATGAAAACACTACCCAATCCCGACCTTATTATGAGGACTTATTGCAAGAATGAGTTCATGAAATTTGACAAGATGAAGATGTAGAGTTTAGAGATAATCGGCAAAAGGAATGACGGGATAACTGATATTTAGACTGACGCTCACTATATAGAGGGATAGTTTATCAAAGTAAAGAAAGGATAAAATTTTTAGATTTGTATAATCCGGCCCAAGCCAAAAGGAGAATTAATAATCCCTTGACTGACTTAATATTTGACGAGTTTATTCCCTCCCGGGACATGCGGGAACAAGGCAAAGGCTACCAAATTAATGAAGTCAAGCGATATAGTGACATTGAAAAGAGTTGTCGCCGGAAAAATCCCAATATTAATAAAGTATTCTTGGGAAATCCCAACGATCCTTACTGAAATATTCCTTATTTAACCAGTTTTAACAAAGGGAATGAAGCATTGGAAAAATGATATTGAAGAACGAGACCACATGACCCTGAAGAATATCGTAAATGGACCTGAATAAATTGCTTGTATAATGAAAAAGGGCAACTATTATATTTAGAAAAAACTGTCGGGGATGAATATGAATTTGAAAGTTATGAAGAGTTTAATTGAGACTTATATTTTGCCAAAAGAGAGAAAATAGGAGTGGTAGAGTGAAAGGACGGCTGAGAAGAAATGTACACTTTTAATAATTTGGCTTGCTTCTTTAACGGCACAGACAATACGGAAATAATGGTGGAATTAAACTGACTAGAAAAAAATAAACCCGAATATTTTGAGCGAGTACAAAGCAAAGTGGAATTTACAGTAGATAATTATACTTTCATTAGGAGTCATAAACCTAATTATTTAAAGGCAGTAATAGAGAAAGAAAAGTTCCAAGATGAGTTGAAATGAAAATTGACTGAAAATAAAATGAAATTCCTTGATTTAGAAAGTAGGAGGAGAATGGAAGAATTTATCGTTACTGGCAAAATAGGTAAGGAAAATAAGGATATCTATTCAGTTTAGACTATTTTTTTGCCTTTTCGGCTAGTCCTACCAACTTTTCTAATTCTTGGACTTCCGGCAAAGTTCATAAATATTTTAAGATTTCTTGGGTTAAAGGTCAGTGTTTGTCTTCATCGTGCAATTTAGATCACCCTAAATTAAAATCACCTAACAAACAATGAGCTAATTCGTGAGCAATAGTATGGAGAAGATTAGGAAACTTGTAAATGGAAATAACTGACAATCCAGCAAAGCAGTAAGTATAATTGGAACTTAAATAGAGAGTTTTGCTAACCAAGGAAATATTTCCCACTTTTGTTATTCCCAAGCGAGTTCATCCCGCCCCATCACAACTAGGTTCCCAACCGCCAAAAGTAATATAAGAAGTAGCAAAAGCATGAATTTTGCCATGAATACCTAATTTTGAAAGCCTATCTCTATGATATTGGTAAGTAGAGTTAATTAAATTTTCCAATAAAACATGAAGTCCTCCTTGCATGATTACAGTGATCTATTTTTTCCCTCTCTTTCATCCTCTAACGGATTTAGCCACGTCTTCATGGGTACAAGTTACTTCCACCGCCGTTAAGGTTTCTTTTTTTCCGGCTTTTCTATCTTTTTCCATTTCTGCAATCCCTTTTTTTAAATTGTTTACCAATTTATCTCAATTACTGCCCGCTACTTTTTTTTTAGTTCTTTTTTTTACTACCATAATATTATAGTTTTAGCATTTTTGCTATATATTATATAAGTATATAAGAAAGAGTAGAGACGAATGCTTTCAGATAGGTAAAATGTATATGTGAAGCAGAGACAGCAAAAATCATTCGGAATCCTAGGTAAGATGCCGATTTGCCGAGTTTCACTAGGAGTTGGGTAGAAATTAGCGAATTACTGATTATTCCTTTTTTTGAACCAACTCTTAAGTAAGGAATAGAAATTATATATGACAGCAGAAACAATAAAAATCAAAACTCACAAACTAGAGGACATGTGAACTGCTATTGAATTAATGCTGACAAAACACGGAGAAGTTAAAGTAGAAGTTGAGGAAGAAAAAACCTTAAAAGACCCACAGCAATTAATCACTTTAACCAGTGGTGCAAACTCAAACGATTTAAAGAACAACATTGACTTTTATACTGAGAAATCAAAAGAGAAATTGAAGCAAAGCAAGTTGCCCGAAAGTAAAAAATAATATTGATATAGAAAAATAAGAAAATGACAGGAACAAAATTAAATGAAATCCAAAACCCATATAACACAGCCGAATGATTGCAAGGAGCTAATAAACTAATGTCGCAACCCAATTGGGCGAAAAGCGGTGAAATTAGAGAATTTTGCAATAAATTAGACAAAGTAAAAGAAGTTGTTGAAACACTTTTGCAGCAGGAAATTGATAAAAACCCCGCTAATAAAACGGCGTTAGAAAATATAAAGCAAGAATTAATAAAAATAGGAGGACTTGGAACAATTACTCCAACTACTGGAGGAGGCTTAACTCACCTAGAAAAAGAAAAAAAAGCCTTAAAAGATGAGTTAAAAGTGATTGTAAATAATTATAAGGGCCAAGTTGATGTGTTTGGAAACTTTGAAGCCGAAGTAGT